AATTTAAAAGTAGTCACCCAGATTTCCTGAGTTCAGGAGTTCGAGACCACCCAGGGCAACATGGTGAAACCCCATCTCTACTAAAAATACAAAGAAATTAACCAGGTGTGATGGGGCACACCTCTAGTCCCAGCTACTTGGGAGGCTGAGGCAGCAGAATCGCTTGAGCCCCAGAGCCGAAGGTGAGCTGAGATGGCACCACTGCACTCCAGCTTAGGCTACAGAATAAGACTCAGTCTCAAAAACAAAACAAAACAACAAAAAAAAGTAGCCACCCAGTGAAGTATTATCAAATACTTTATCCTATTTCAACTTTCTGCATAGCACTTACACCATTACCTGGTTCTTAAAATTTGTTTTTTGACAGTTTTATCCCACTAGAATGCACATACCATCACAGCAGGGCCTGACATCTAGTAAGTACACAGAAAGTATTTATTAAATAAATAAATCAACATGCAAACACACTACATTGGCGGATCACTGCCTTGCCAGTTTACCAAAAGAATACATTCAATTCATTCAAAGATCTTTACTAAATGCCTACTGTGTGCCCGGCATCAAAACAGCAAAAGTCTGGCAAAAAGTGTACCAGATTTCTCAGTTTCTTCCTGTATCTTGTTCTACCAATATGCCAAGAACTCTTAATTTCACCTCTGTGATGAAGTATTTTTAATACATGTACTACTTATTGCCTTAATCTAGGAAACTTCTATAATATGAAATTGTATCTAGCATGACTATATTGAAAATACAATAAATCACCACAGGAATAATTCACTGATAAATGATGACTAGTAAATACTGTATTATAATACAGAACAAGTACTAAACAATATACACACTTTTTTTTTCTTTTTTTTTGAGATGGAGTTTCGCTCTTGTTGTCCAGGCTGGAGGGCAATGGCGCCATCTCAGCTCACGGCAACCTCCTCCTGCTGGGTTCAAGCGACTCTCCTACCTCAGCCACCCAAGTGGCTGGGATTACAGGCATGCATCACCACGCCCAGCTAATTTTCTATTTTTAGTAGAGACCAGGTTTCACCATGTTGGTCAGGCTGGTCTTGAACTCCTGACCTCAGGTGATCCACCCGCCTCGGCCTCCCAAAGTGCTGGGTAAAGTAGTATTTTATAATAACCACATTATAGAGATAAACCACAAAATTAGGTAATTCTTCACAGCATACTAATATGCTATTTACAGATATTAAAACAATGATATCTTTACAATTCTCTTAGCAAACACATCCAATGTATATGTAGAATTTTAATGTCACTTATATAGTAATCCAATCACATTTCAGCTTCTGCATTTAAAGTCTCATCTCAAATTTACTGAGTTTTGTTTTTAGTTCTTCAAAGCAAACAGTGTCAAGAGTTAGACTGCAGGATTAATTTGTATACCACATACTCTTTCTTGTCACCATTTCAGTGATGCAATAAAATACTGCACTGTATTTTTTATCTCAAAAGGTTTATTCTTAAATCTACCTTTCCTAATGGCTTCAAGCAACAGTAACATAAAAAACTAAGTGACTATAAAACTGAGCTTAAAAACTATTCCATTTCCCTCTAAATGTCCACGACACCATTAAATTTCAAAAAAAAATTTTTTTTTTTTTTTTTGAGACAGAGTCTCGCTCTGTCGCCCAGGCTGCAGTGCAATGTCGCAATCTCAGCTCACTGCAACCTCTGCCTCCAGGATTCAAGCGATTCTCCTGCCTCAGTCTCCCAAGTAGCTGGGACTACTTGGGAGGAGCATGCCACCACACTTGGCTAATTTTTTGTATTTTTTCAGTAGAGCCAAGGTTTCACTGCGTTAGCCAGGATGGTCTCAATCTCCTGACCTTGTGATCTGCCCGCCTCGGCCTCCCAAAGTGCTGGGATTACAGGCACGAGCCACTGCGCCCAGCCTAAACTTCAGAATTTTAAAAAATTTCAGAGAAGCAGTGGTCTATTAGACATCTCAAAATGCTTTAATATGTAGGCTACTTAAATGTCTCCCACAATTTTTACAGTAAAAAAAAAAAAAAAAAAAGCACACAATGAAGAACATCTCCTAGCAATGATCTCCCTACCCCACACATACCACCTTCTCATTTTGTTTCTGTATTGTTTGAATATTTTATAAGACGGTTTGCATTACAATTGTAAAAACAAAGACCTTTGTAAAGGTTAACATTAAAGGTAGTGGTCATGTCATGCATCACGGTAATAGTCAAGTAAATGGTACAAAATGCCTAATAAGTCTAAGAAAGTTTTGTTAAAACTAGGGTAAATAAAAACACCTTAAAACAAATTATCTTGCTTTTTCCAATGTGTATATCCCCTACTCTATAGCTACTGAGATTTGACTAAGTCAATAAGGCTCCCAGAAGCCCCAGGTCACATTCTACAGGTCCCTGTACTCCTCCAGTCCTGCCAGCAAAGCTCACTAAACATTTACTTGTTCAACAAATGAATCACTCCCATGATTCCCCTTGTCGCACAGTCCTTTCTTCCATTTTTGCTCATGCTCATCTCAAGCTCACAAGAGCTTCTATACTGGCTACGTAAGTCACTTAATTTCCTTGGTTCCTTCTTAAACAAGGACAAATCTCTGAGTCGACCAAAATACAGGTCTCAATAAGATCCAATCTTGTCTTTATTTTAGATCTATTTCTAATATCCTTGGTTACCTAGTTCTCACAACAACTTACAAACAGAACACTTAGTGTTGCTCTATTAAATACAATTTTCTTTGTGTATTTCTTACTGGAACTCTAAAGTGTCGTATCAAAAACAAATATTAAATAAAACACATTACAAATATAGAATTGAAAATGTTGTCATGAAAACTATTTCCTAAAGTCATTAAAATAAAAACTGACAAGTCATTAAATGCAAACGTTCCATATATCCCAGGGGAAATGCTTTAATTTCGTGCCCCAGACTAACAGTATTAGTTTTTTTATACTAATAGAAACAAAACTATATTTATGTAAATAGCAGCAAAAGCTGTAGAAGCCACTCCCTAACAATGGGCTTCTCAAAAATATACTTCCCGAAGTGTAACGTATTACTTTTCCTTGAAAATAAACTGGAAAACAGCAAAAATAGTTAAGAATTTATATAAACACAGGTACAGCATTGACTCTCAGTTAACACTGCATGTGTAAAGTGCCTAAAACGCTAAACAAACCCTACAGAACATAAATACTTCAGTGGAGCTGTTGAAAGAGTCACTGCATAACTTCAATACACCCACAAATATTTACCAAAAAGCCACAGTCTTTCTTTAGGTTTCAATAATTCTGAAATTAACTGAGTATTATAAGCTGATTAAGTTACTGTGGCACCAACATTTGTTACCACAAAGAACCAAAGTCAAATAGGCATTTTACATAGTTTGTCTGAAATCATCAAACTCCATTTTAACTTTCACCCTTCAACTTATTAATACACATTAAGCAGTAAAGAAATACTCAAGAGGAATCTGATTCTATTAGTGCTGTCAGTCCACAGGGTGTTGTCAATTACTTCTGAGGACACTGAAAAGTTTCTCATGTATAATTGAGATCTACTGTTCCTTTAAGAAGTTAATCACACAGCATACACCTACATATAATCTGAAATCAAATAATTTTGTACCAAAATCCCAAAAAGGTTGTTTTTTAAAAAATTAAAGATGTACAAAACTTAAGATTAAATGAGATAAGTAAAACGTAACACTGTATCTCCACTTAAAGGAATCCATTGTTTAAATAATCGATTCCACTTACTGACCACCAAGTAAACACATACCATTTAATCTTCACATCTCCGCAAGGCAGGTATTATCCCTATTATACAGAAGATGAAACTAAGATAGCGTAATTTGCCCAAGGTCATAGCAAATAAGTTACAAAACCACAAATGGAACTCAGGTCTACTTAATTAACACCAAAGCCACCGATCTCCACCCAAAATAGAATCTACTACTTTTAAAAATAGAGTTGGGCAGAAAGCTGCTGGTTTAAACTTAGTATTATGACAATCTTAGCGGTGTATTCCCGAACATAAGCAGTAAATTCACACGGCGTTTTTAGCTTCTTGGCATAAAGTTGTACTGACCTCAACAGTGTCTCTTTATGCAGTCACAAATACAGAAAAATGTATAATGTGGACTTCTGAAATGTTTAAGGCTTTAACTGCAGAAGGGATTCAAAGTTGGTTTTTTTTTCTTTTTTCCCCCTTGAACCGCTACTGTTTGGGGGATCGGGGGAGGGTGGGTGCAGGGTTCCAACTCCTACAATTCCAAGATTTCTAATGCAGAAAACCCGTTAAATCTGAGGTTTAGTTTGAGCCTGGATGGATTTGAAGGGTTCTAACGCTAAAATCAACACTAAAGAGGCCTCAAAGTGCAATCTACGCAAAGGTGTGGGTTTGGTGGCGGGAGGAAGGCAGCAGAACGATTCATTTGCAAATAAAAGGGTTAACAATTCTGAGGGGAAAGGGGTAAATTCATTTTCACCACTACTCACCTCTCACTCGGCGGCAAACGGAACCTGATACTTTTTTTTTAAGGCTCATCTTCTCGGGTTACCAACTCTGGGACCTAAGCGCCTAACCAGGTCCACACATGGGTAGTGGCGACGCCTACGTCTCCCTCCCCCACCTGTGCACCCACACCAGAAAGCCAGGCCCCACTGCCGAGACGGCCTGGACCTCCCCATCCCCCTCCGGCCCCGCTAGCACGAGCTCCTAGGCCCAGGCCCGCGGGCGTGCGCTCCACGCCATCTGCCACCAGGCCTTCGGCGTCCGGCCACTGCTTCCCCTTTCTCCTGCCACAAAGCCCGTGGCCAAGCCAGGAGAGTTGGCTCCGCTGTACGCCGCCAGGGCCAGGGCCGGCACCGGGACTCAGGGCCCTCATCGCACCCTCCGGGGCTTCCCCCGCTGGAGCGCGCCGCCCAGCCCCGCGAGCTCCTGGCGCTCCCCGCGGCCCGCACGCGGCCGCCCCTGCCCCCGGCCCGCGCGCATACCGTCTCCTCGGGGTCGATGTCTATCTTGAAGGTCTGCTGCTGGAGGGTCTTCAGGGTGACCTGCATGGTGCCGCCGCGCAGCTCTGCTGCCGGGCCTGCGCCGGGTGCTGGCCGCTGGGCGGGGTCTGTGGCCTGGCGCGGCCCCGGGGTCGCCCGCGCTCCTCGCGCTCTGGGGAGGAAGGCGGTGGGGGTGGGGGCTTGTCACATTCGCCCAGCGGAGCGGCCTCTCCCCCAGCCCGTGCCCCGGACCGCGCCGCTGCCTCCGCGACTGCGGCCTTCCCCGCGAGCTCGGGCCGCCGTGCTTCCTCACGCGCCGAGCGCCAGCCACTGAGTCTGCAGGAGGCGCAAGGGGCTCGGCGAGACAAGCAGGGAATCCGCTAGCTCACCACAGGATGGTGGCCGCCATCATCGTGACTCGCCGAGACGTGCCCCCTCCCCCACGCGAAAAACCTGGGGGGATGGGGCCGGGCGGGCGGAGCGCGCAGGCGTGGGGGGTGCAGCGACGCTTTGCGCAGGCGCGGCAGACGACTCCGCCCCGGAATTGGGGGCGGGGCGGAAGGCGGCTCTGGAATGTTGGCGGCCTGGACCCGGATTGCGCAGGCGCGTTCCGTGGGCGGCAGGGGCTCTCGGGGTTTCCTCCTAGCGACTATTGCTGGGGCGTTCTCTCCGCCCGCCGCCTCTCCGCGTCTGCAGACTCCGCCCGACTGCCGAAGTTACGCAATGTGTAGCCCGGGAAGCGCTACGTGGAGACCTGGCAGAGTGGATGCAGAGCCCTGGAGCGGGGGAGTAATCGGGGCGGAGTTTAAGTGAAAGGATGGCGGTAACCACAGTTAGGGGCCAGCACCCAGGGGGCGCTCGCTGCGGGGCTCAGCCCTGGGGGTGTCGACTGATTCTTTAATCCTGACAGCACAGACTACTGAGCCGGACTGCCTGCTTTCAAATTTTGTTTTCTCTCACTAGCCTTGGGTCCTTGGGCCTAAACAGATGGACCGATTTAAAACGAATGTCAAATTCTGTCACACCTCGGGGTAGAACTGTCCAGTGTTTCCCCATCTAGCTCCGACTTGAAGTCAGAGTTATTAGAACGGATGTATTAGTCCCTCGCCTTTCTCCGAGTCGCCTTACTCTCCCCACTGGTGGATTCTAGGCTGCCCCCACCTCAGGGCCTTCCTTTGCACTTGTCCCGGCTCCCCTCCTTAACATCCTTGCTCAGATGTTGCCTTCTTGGTGAGGTCTGCTCTGGCTGCCTTACTTAAAATCGCAACTTCCTATCTGTCTTATCCTGCTCTATTTTTCTTGTATAGCAGGTATCCCCTTTTAATTACCGTGTAATGTACATATCTCTTGTTTATCATCTTTCTTCTTTTCCTGTAAACCCCAGACTGAAGCTGCATAGAGGCAAAGATTTTGCTGTGTTCCCCCATGAACATGCCTGGCACATTGCAGGTGCACAGTAAATATTTGTGGAATGGGTGAATGTGCTTCCGGATCCTCAGCAGTAAAATGAAAATAATAATGTCATTCATTGATTATTGGAGGGGGGAGTTGAATATTGCATGTAAAAATCTTTTTTTTTTTTTTTTTGAGGCGGAGTGTCGCTCTGTCGCCCAGGCTGGAGTGCGGTGGAGTAATCTCTGCTCACTGCAAGCTCCACCTCCCGGGTTCACGCCATTCTCCTGCCTCAGCCTCCCGAGTAGCTGGGACTACAGGCGCCCGCCACCACGCCCGGCTAATTTTTTGTATTTTTAGTAGAGACGGGGTTTCACCGTGTTAGGATGGTCTCGATCTCCTGACCTCGTGATCCGCCCGCCTCAGCCTCCCAAAGTGCTGGGATGACAGGCGTGAGACACCGCCCCTGGCCCTGTATGTAAAATCTTAGTACCAGGATCATGATAAACAGTCTGTAAACCGTTAGCTATTAGTAGAAAATGCGTTTACAGATAGAAAACTGAAGTACAGAGATGTTGAGTAATGCACCTGGAATCACCCAGCCGGTAGTAAATGGCAAATCCAGAATGTGACCTCACACAGAATGACTCCAGAGCCTGTATCCCAGGGTGTGGCACTATTCCCCTCTTTTTTTGTTTTAAAGGAGGGGGATACACTGTCATCCAGGCTGGAGTGCAGTAGCACAAACACGGCTCACTGCAGCCTCAACCTCCCGAGCTCAAGAGATCCTTCCACCTCAGTCTCTTGAGTAGCTGGGACCACAGACACACACCACTGCTTCCCAGCTGATATTTTATTTTTTTTTGTACAGATATGTTCTCCCTATGTTGCCAGGGCTGGTCTTGAACTCCTGGGCTCAAGTAATTCCTCCTGCTTCGGTGTCGCAAAGTGCTGGGATTACATGTGAGCCATCACGCCCAGCTCTTCTCTGTTTTATAATAAACAGGAGTTTATTATAATAAATATAATAATATTATAAATAATCTCCTGTTTTAAATGTGCCTGTGGCACATTTGATTTAGTTCAAGTATAAAACACAGTTCTAGTCAGGCCACTAGCTCTACGACCAATTACAAATTACTTCTCTGGGACAGCATCCTCACTAATACAGTGTCACTGCCTGGTTTTCAGTGGCTTCTAAGAGCTTGGGTTTAATGTTTCCAAGAAACTTTCCTTGACCAGCTTCTCCCTCCAATAACCTGGTATTTCCCCTTTCACGGCACATAACTCGCTTCGTAGTAGTTAAACATGCAATCTTCTGCCTTCTCTCTTCCTATAGCTACTCGTAGTCATCAGGTGGTTTCATCTTGGCCCTTGTTTTGAAATACCTTCAGCCTGGACCTCTCCCCTTAGCTATAGAGTTAGCCAATTGCCTAAGCAATATCTTCACCTGAATATGTAACAAGCCTTTGAAACTTAATATGGTGAAATAGAACAATTGATTTCTCTTTGGACCTCCTTCCCTGCTGCAAACTGCTCCTCTCCCAGTTTTCCCCCATCTTAGTTTATGGCCTCACAATCTACCCAGGTGCTCAGACCAAAAATCTGGTCTTCATCCGTGATAACTGTTTTCCCTCCCTCACCCACTCCCAGCCACCACATGCAATTCATTATCAAGCCCTGTCAACCTTATTCTCCAAAGTATATCCCCAAGTCAACCTTTTTTCCACCGTTTCTACTTCTACAGTCCTAAGCTAATCCATCGTTATCCTTCACCTGCGTCCCACCTGGTCTCTCCACTTCCACTCTACCCCCAACAGCCTCCCCAGCAGCCAGAGTGGCCTTTTAAACCCATAAATCAGAGCATGTCGTATCTATGCTTAATATCTACATTTTAGAATAAAAGTCAAACTCTTTACATGGCCTTGGAGAGCCCACGTGATCTGACTCCTACCAATTTCTCTGACCTCATCTCTTTCCTTCTCTCACCCGCTCATTCACTGTCATCCATTTCCCTCTCAGCCCTCAAACAGGCTAAGCTGTTTCTAGCCTCAGGGCCTTTGCACTTGAGGTTCCTTCAGCTTGAAACTCTGTCTTCCCAGATCTTTGAATGGCTAACTCCTTTTCAACTTCAGGTTCCAATTCATATTTTACTTTTTTAGAGAAGACTTCTCCAACAAATTTAATAATATACATTAAACATGTATTAAACCTTTTTCTCTCTTTTTTTTTTGAGATGGAGTCTCACTCTGGAGTGCAGTGGCGCAATCTCGACTCACTGCAACCTCTGCCTCCCAGGTTCAAGCAATTCTCCAGCCTCAGCCTCCCAAGTAGTTAGGATTACAGGTGCGTGCCACCATGCCTGGCTAATTTTGTATTTTTAGTAGAGATGGGGTTTCACCATATTGGCCAGGCTGGTCTCGAATTACTGACCTTGTGATCTGCCCGTCTTGGCCTCCCAAAGTGCTGGGATTACAGGCATGAGCGTCCGCACCTGGCCTAAGCCTTTTTTCTAGGCAAACCACTTGCTTTTTAGGGAGAGACACTCACTCCTATATTCACGACTGTTTTCACCTACAACAGAGACTAGAAAACAGTAGGTGCTCAGTAGTGGATGCTGACTGACTCCTAACTCAGTGGTAGACTCCACAAGACAGGGGCTGAGTCAGTCCTGTGCATCTTGTTATCTGAAGTAACTAGCACAATGTGGATGATCTGTACATGTTGTTTGAAAACATGGTAAGGTCATTTTAGTTATAATTTACAACAGTTATAAGAAAATGTGAAAATATTTAAAAACCTGAAATATGCTGTACAGTTATAATATTAAAAGCTTCCTGCTACAACTATTATTGTCTGCAGAAAAACAAGGAGAGAGATGCCTTTCCATATATTAGTGAATGCAAAAAAAAAAAAAGTTTTTTTTTTTTACTTGTGGCAAAAAGAAAAAAAAAGACCAATGTAGAAAGGGAGGGATTGGTTGAAAATGAAAGTCCTCCTCCCACCTCCCTAGAAGTAAGCATTGCTTTGAGTTCTTAGAAACTTTCTAGACATATAAAAGAATATATTTTCCCAGCCGGGTGCAGTGGCTCACACTTGTAATCGCAGCATTTTGGGAGGCCGAGATGGGTGGATCCGAGCTCAGGAGTTCGAGACCAGCCTGGGCAATATAGTGAAACCCCATCTCTACTAAAAATACCAAAGTTAGCCAGTCATGATGTCACGTGCCTGTAGTCCCAGCTACTTCGGAGGCTGAGGCACAATAATCACTTGAACCTGGGAGGCAGAGGTTGCAGTGAGCTGAGATAGCACCACAGCACTCCAGCCTGGGTGACAGAGCGAGACTCTGTCTCAAAAAAAAAAAAGAATATGTTTCCGCAAATACAGCCATGTGTCACTTAATGAAGAAATTTAGCCGGGCGCGGTGGCTCAAGCCTGTAATCCCAGCACTTTGGGAGGCCGAGACGGGCGGATCACGAGGTCAGGAGATCGAGACCATCCTGGCTAAAGCAGTGAAACCCCGTCTCTACTAAAAAAATACAAAAAAAACTAGGCGAGGTGGCGGGCGCCTGTAGTCCCAGCTACTCGGGAGGCTGAGGCAGGAGAATGGCGTAAACCCGGGAGGCGGAGCTTGCAGTGAGCCGAGATCCCGCCACTGCACTCCAGCCTGGGCGACAGAGCGAGACTCCGTCTCAAAAAAAAAAAAAAAAAAATTTATTCTGAGAAGTGTGTCATTAGGCGATTCCGTTGTTGTACAAACATCATAGAATGTAATATATTACACCCTACATGGTATAGCCTACTACACACCTAGGCTACATGATATAGTGTATTGCTCCTGGGCTACAAACCTGCACAGCATGTTACTGTACTGAGTACTGTAGATAATTGTAACACAACGCGAAGTACTTGTGTATCTAAACATAGAAAAGGTATGGTTAAAAAAGTGGTGTAAAAGATTTAAAATGGCACACCTGTATAGGGTGCTTATTATGAATGGAGCTTTCAGGACTGGAAAATGCTCTGGGTGAATCAATAAGTGACTGGTGTGTGAATGTGAGGGTATAGAGTGTTACTGTACACTACTATAGACTTTATATATAAACACTGCACACCTAGGCTACACTAAATTTAAAGTGTTTCCTTTTT